ATATATATAGAGAGAGAGAGAGAGAGAGAGAGAGAGAGAGAGATAGATATATAATGTACAGCCTGAAGGCTGTTTGGATGTGTCCATATTTTTACTTTCTCCTATCACATGAAGTCATGTGTTGAATTTTCCATTTATAGTATCATGTCATTGATCAAAAATTTCAGATATCTGTGTTAGGGGTGCTCAGCCTGTGACATTCTTATAAACCCCAGTCTTCCGTCATAATAGCTCTTATACTCATTGCGGTATGCTTTGGTGGACCTAAATATTTAGTCATCTTAAGTTTTTCAATGCTGGTTTTCATGGTGGGTTTTGAGTTTTTTTAATTAAAAAAATTGATAAGTTGACAGATTGAGGAGTTGATGCCTTGTCCCGTGGGTGAGGCGAGCGGTGACCCAGCTTTTCCCTTCATAGTGCCTCATGCAAAGGGAATGACGTGAAGCACACACCGTATGCTCCAGTGGGTGCAAGACGAGCTGCATCTCCTACTGCTAATCATTGTGCCTTTCACTTTCCAGGTAACTTCCAGGCTCCTCTCTCAGTGGACCCTGCAACGTGTCCCATTGTCCCTGGCCAGGAAATGATCATAGAGATATCCAAGGGGCGCTCAGGGCTTGGTCTCAGCATCGTAGGAGGAAGAGACACACCTTTGGTAAGTGTCTAGAAGTAAACTTGTCTACTGTCACAGAGTTAGTTCTGAAGCTCATTATGGCCCAGGATACTTACATTGGAGGCTTAACAAAATATAAGTACTCATTCCCTAAAACATAAGGGAACTCAGGAGCTGCAGGAACTACACTGGTGCTCCTGCATCTAGCTTGTAGGCCTTGTGTCTCTGCATCTACCCTCCCGTCCTAGAGGATGTTGGCCTGCAGCTGACTCTCCAGTGAACTACCCAGCCCAGAAGTAAATGTACCGTGCTCTGAGCCTGAAGTTATCGACCAACGGACTTTTAACTCCTTATGCTTCATCAAAATATTGTGATTGAGGACATTTATGTCCTAACCTTCCCTCTGCCTCTGCAGTCAGAAATTGCTGCATGTCGCATCCTACTTATGTGTGATGTCCCTTGGATGGAACTGAGGGTGCAGAGTTGCCCAGGCCCCACAGGCAGTTGCGCTGCCTGCCTCTCACACAGACCTTGGCTTCCATACAGCTCTAAACTCCTGTATTTCTCTTCATCTAGCATGGGGTACTATGTCTATCCAGCTTTTATCACTGGGGAAGGATTGCCCTTTCCTTACAGCCTTTCTTCTGTGTGACTAAGTCATATCATTAAACAGTGTTATATTCATATACTATTTTAGTAATCTTTACTCCTGGGCTGTAGAAATGCTCAGATCTCATAAACAGCAGAAAATGGTTTATAACTGTGATCCTTGCCATACCAAAGCCATTGGGGTAGTATTGAGAAGCTATACCCTGACATGGGTACTAGCTCCCTCCTAAAGGCTCTTTTCTCCCATTTCCCCAAAGAGATACCTTAAATACTGTAAGAAGTGAATTTGTATATATATAAAGCTACATTTAAACAAAACAGGGCAATTACATTTTAACTCATTTTTAATACTGAATTTTTTATGATAAAAATTTTAATGTTCAGTGGACTGGAGAGATGACTCAGTGGTTAAGAGCATGGGATGCCCTTCTAGAGGATCCAGTTCTATGACTAGTACCACATGGTGTCTCAAGGCTGTCTATAACTCCAGTTCCACAGGATCCAATACCTGGGCGTTGCACCTACATGGTGCACATATATACAAACTTAATCATCTGATCTCTTTATCATAAATAAATCTCTTCTTATGACTTAGCCCAAGATAGCACTAGATTTCCCAGAAGACTCGGAAGAACGGAGTCAGCTCAGCTGAGCAGCCATGAACTGCTCTCCCCCAGTGTTGGTATCAATACAGCTGTGCTGTGTGGGACCCAGCCTCCCCTTTCGAGGCCTTACTGAGCATCTTGCTCTGCTTCTCTTGCCACCTCAAGAATGCAAAGATAAAAGTTCCTCAGGAGCATCTTGAGGTTCCTAATAGTTCTGCCATTTGAGACTATAAATCCCACTGTTCTTGAAAGATAAGTGTCACTTAAAATGAGAGATGGGACACAGCTTTTATTTCCTAACCTTATCAAAAGCCTCAAATTAGAATCACAGAAAATATATAGGACTGTCTTTTTTATTTTTATTTTTTTTTTTGCAACCAAAAAGAGGATAGAAGTGGAAAGTACTTGAACACAATGAAGATCACTTTCCTTTTTTAATGCTCCCCCAAGTTTTCACATGAAGCATGAAAACTAGCGCATGGATCCCTTTATCCATCCAGCCAGAAGTTTGCAAACAAAGGTGGGAGATTGTAAAAAAAGAAATTTCAGGAAATGAACTGGGTATGAGCAGAACCTCTGCTATTTGGAATAGCTTCAGCCTTGGTGCAGGGAAGGGCAGGACTGACTTCCACCTCTCCTATTCCCTTCCCTACCCCTCCCAATCAGAATCCCATGTCCTTTTTGTTATGTGGCCAGCAGATCTGGCCATCTGTAGAGTTAGTCTCTTGACACCTCATCAGTCCTCTGCCAGGACAGATGGCTTCTGAGATCATAGAGGGAGATCGCATGTCTTGTCCTGTGTGTTTGCATCCAGTCACCTGCACCAGCCTTTGAAAGTACTGAGCTAATGACAAGGGTGAGCCTTCAGAAGTTTACAAACACACCTGGTCCTGTCCTCGGAGACAGCCTTCTGCCTCTGTTCTCATCTGTGACGCCTCTGCCAGGCTGGCCTCTGGAGCGCACGGTCTTCTGTGATAGCTTGCATGTTTGCTCAGTTCTTCTTGCTTTGACCTGGACTGTAAAATTGAGTGACATTGCCCTGCCTTCATTAACTCTGTCTTTTAGTGTTTGCAGTCTACTTATGGTAGGAAATCAACCAATGAAAAATCGTAATTCTTCCAATGTTTAGAGGGTAGGGAAAAGGGATGCTGTAGAAAGCTTTTTCTGAGTTTAACTATTATAGACTAATTGTTGTATGAAATGTGGAAGCCAGGAATCCAGATAAAGTACACTGTGCAGCCAAGGTGTGGTTTATTAATTCACATTGTATTTCCTTCCATTGTTATGTGTATAATTCCATCTTTTTCCCTGTCTTCCCTTGTTCTTGCTGGTCTTGGTGAAGTGTTGCTTTGCCTCACAAAATACCACACTGCTCTTTGATGGCATCTAATCTGCAAGTAAAAACTGGAAGAGTGCTCACCCTGCTGAAAACTAGTGCTAGCCCCTCCCAGACCTGCCAAAGACCTTCTCAAAATGCCTGTCTCCTGATTGGGAGGGGGGTTTGGTGGTGGTTTCTTTTGTTTTGGTTTGGTTTGGTTTGATTTTTCAAGACAGGTTTCTTTGTATAACAGCCCTGGCTTTCCTGGAATTAACTCTTGTAGACCAGGCTGGCCTTGAACTCACAGAGATTCACCTGCCTCTGCCTCCTGAGTGCTGGGATTAAAGGCATGATCAGAGTTTTACACCCACATTCTTGAAGAAATAAAATATAGCACCCCAGAGTATTTGAGGTTATTTTATTGCCAGATGTGGGGTGTTACAGAGGAAAAGAAAACTCAGGAGTAGGTCTTTATTTTGGACCACTGGCAGGCCCTTTTCTAGACACTGTTGCCAGCAACCACAGTGTAGACTCTCACTGCGCCCTCATGGCAGCAGAGCTGAGCACAGTGCTGATTCTTGGGGGAGGAATCTCAGGATGTTACCTGAGAGGCACTGTGCCCATGTTAATGACAAGCATATACTTTAGGGGTATGTGCCTTAGCTAAGATTGCCAAGTGCCCTTAGTTGTTAGAGTAAATCCTCTGCTTAAGAGATAACCCAGTCAGTAAGCTGCTTACTGTGAGAGCATGAAGACCCGAGTGTGATGCCCAACATGGTATGGCGACACGTGTTTGTAACTCCAGAGCTGGGGAGGCAAAGACAGGCCTGTCCTGGGGTCCAGCCTAGCCTAATCAGCAAGTCCTGGGCCCATCGAGAAACCTTGTCTTTGTTACAACGTTGCTCTTTGGTGTACACACGCACACGCACGCACACATATACACACACAAACACAAGTAGATCCCTAGTTCTCTTTATCTCTTACCTCTATATGTTTCCTATACCATGAAATGTGACTTTATTTCTAGATGAATTTTTTTGTTTTGTTTTTTTGGTATCAAGCTTCTAAAACTGCTGTAGGCACTCTTGTTGTATAATTCACATGCATCCTCACAACACCCTGTGCTAGAAGTCGTATTGGTTGTAGAATCTTCAGATGAAAGGGAGATGTGTCTCCAAAGACATAGCGTGGTGGTGGGAACAGGTAGTATTTGGACAGATGGTCTGGCTTTAAAGTCCACTCTTTGGGTCTCTCTCTGCTAGCTCTACCACTGTGTGCCATCTGTAGAAGGGATTTATTTTATCTACCAAACTCTACATGCTATTTTTACGTGTGTATCTAGAAGCTGTACAGAGCCTTACACCCTTTAAACAGGGCCCGTACCAGGCTCCTGTGCCTTCCTAAACACTAGCCCACTGGCCTCACTCAGTTCCTCTAGGGAGTGCTGTTCCTACCTGGTGCCAAGCCTTGTGACCCCATTGGCTCTATGAGGAGTCTCTGTAATGGGTTTTATTCTTAGAGTCCCTGATTACTTCTGGGCACAACTACAGCAGTATTGAAATCATGTCATTGAAGTGTGAACTGCAAGGTTGGGAAAGAGGCCAGAGGGACAGTTTTGACCTTCTTTGAAACTTTAGGATTAACTTCTTGTTGGGAAAGGATGGGAATGACCCAGTGCCTGTGTCCTGAGAGTGAATCTCCCCTCATACAAAATTAGGTGTTTTCCATGGGCTCAGTGACAGGCAGGTGTTACATTATTATTGAGGACCAACAAGTGACCTGCCAGCACCCAGTGAGTGTGTTGTCCCTAGAGAACTCTTGGGAAAGGCTACACTCAACTTCTGCATAAGTATAACCTCTCAGCTTCTTGCTTTATAGCAGAGGATACGCATTTACACTTATGGCTCTCATCTTCAAGATGATAGAGTAAGAAAACGCCATAGCCCACGTTTGACATCTCACAATGTGCTCTTAACATTTAAAGTCTTAGGAGTTGCTTTATTTTATTTAACTAGCAAGTAAGGCCAAGTTATTATGGGCTAGCTTGTTTGTTTTATGGAAGTTAGAATCTGTTTTTACTTTTGCAAAGAAAAATTTAAAAATAAAAGCCCTAGTTAGTATCTTTGCACTGTCTTGGGGTTTTGTTACAAGAGAAAAGCCAACAAGGACACAGGCTTTGCTTTTATATTTTGAGTGCTGTTCCACCAAACATGAGGCAGGTCAATTCTTTTTTTTTTTTTTTCATTTCTTTCAGAGCTTCTTTTTATTCTTTTATATTCTCTGATCTCTGATTCTCGGCTCTTCATATTTATATACACCAATAAAATCTTTCAGGTAATATAGAAATTACAATATGGTTATATTATATTCTTCAAGAGAATGATTGTAATGAATACAGGTATAAAGCATGTTTTCTTTTTTCTTGCATGTATAATTTTAATCCTAAATTCCAAACACTAAAGAAAACATGAGGTATTTGTTTTTCCCAGTCTGACTTATTTTACTTAAAA